TCCAAAACTCCAACGTTTTTGTGTCTTTTATTTCTGGGGCAGCGACAGCCTTTGCTTCACTGGAGGTGCAGGGAGGCAGCCGCGCACAGCCCGGCGTCGCCCATCCACCCCACGGCCCGGGGAGCTGCGGGGACGGCGCAGCGCGGGGTCGGTGTCCCCTCGGTGCTCCCGCACAGCTCCGGCGCTGCCGTTCTCCCCCCTGCGCTGCCCACGGGGCTCCCGGGGCTGTTTCCTCGGCCCCCCCCCTCGCGGCCTCCCCTCCCCTGGTACCGTGTCGGGGTCCCCCGCCGCCCGGGCGCGCTCCGAGTCCCCCTTTCCCCTGCCCTGCTCCCCTTCGGGCCCCCCCAGTCCGCCGCCCCTCACTGCCGCCGTCTCTCGCCCGCAGCCCGCCAACCCCCGGGTGCCCAAGGGCGATGACGCCAAGAAGCTGCTCTCGGTGGAGCACATCTACCAGAAGAAGACGCAGCTGGAGCACATCCTGCTCCGGCCCGACACCTACATCGGCTCCGTGGAGCTGGTCACCCAGGTGCGGGGGGAGGGTGGCGGGGCTGGGCCTGCCTGAGCTCCTCGGTGCAGGCGGGAGGTCATTCGCGTCTGTTCATAAAGCGCCAGACATCTGCTTTACAGACTGATGGTGCAGAAGAGGAGGCGTACCTGGGGGCTTAACGTACTTCTTGCCTTCTTTTCAGCAAATGTGGGTTTTTGATGAGGACCTGGGCCTTAACTGCAGAGAAGTGACCTTTGTGCCTGGCTTGTACAAGATCTTTGATGAGATTCTGGGTAAGGTGACCTCTGCTGAGTTGCCGATTGATGAGTTATTAACGGGTGCTGAATGTCTAAAAAAAACTGGAACTAAATGTGTAAGAAGTTAACAAATAAAAGACAAAGGTAAAAGTGTTTTTGTCTAGTCACATTTTGGACCAAGTGATGTCTAGTACGTAATTTGATGGATGGTGTTGGCAGAGGACGTTCATTGTTGATTGTGCTTGGAAATACTGGATACGAATGTCCTTCTGTTAGTGCTGTTTAATAATAAACCATCCGTGGGATGGCAGAGGACTCCATTACAGAACCAATCTCCTTCAGCCCAGAATTCTCCCTTCTGTGTTATATCTGCATACCAAGATGGATGTTAGACACAGTGTGTTGAATTTTTGCATTCATTCCACTGAAGACACTTTAATAGTTTGGTCTTGGTTGAGAATGTAATATTAATAACAATAATCTTTCCGTTCTAGTCAACGCTGCAGACAACAAGCAGAGGGATAAGAACATGTCATGCATTAAAATTACAATTGACGTGTAAGTTTTCTTTTATTTTTGATCCTTGCCTTCCCAACCCAAGTGTGTTAGATGCTCTCACTCAGAGGCTGCTCCGTGGGGCTGGTGTAGTGTTGGAGGGCTCTGCTAGGCGGCCGATCCAAGTTAGACAGAGTTTAATTCCCCGATTGTGAAAACCTTTTGCTCTGGTTAGACCCTGGGTCTCTTAGGGATTGCTGACTTGTGAAATGACTGTTCTTTTGTTGTTGTCCATTCTGGCCGTTTTCCTCTTCCTCCTCTCAACTTCCTCACTCTGCCATTGAGCAGAGAGGGGTTTTATCCGTGGTTGTCCATTTCACAGACGATATTTGCAGATTTGAGACTTGTCCTCCCTCTGCTGGCTGGTTCTGCACTTGCTGAACACAGATTTGCTCTTGATGAAATGGTCGCCTTTCCCCAGAGCTTTTGCATACTTGTTTCATAACTCAGTCATTTGCAGCCTTACAAACACATGTATGTTTTCTCCCTAGAGAGAATAACACAATCAGCATATGGAACAATGGGAAAGGTATTCCAGTTGTTGAACACAAAGTGGAAAAGGTCTTTGTGCCTGCTCTTATCTTTGGGCAGCTCCTAACATCCAGCAACTACGATGACAACGAAAAGAAAGTCACAGGTAGGGAAGACTTTAAAACACGCACTGATATTGCTGAGCAGCCTGACCAGTTTAAACGAGTGAACAGAACCAAGACGGGGAAAAAGGAAATCCTCAACACCACATGAAAATGGTGTTCTGAGGCCATCAGAGAGGTCTCCGTGCTCCGTTTTACTGTAATCACAGTACAAACATGGAGAACAGGAAAAACTAATCCCAATTAAATGTGGGTTTATAGTCACATACTGGGTTTGCAGGATATTGTTGCTTATTGACAGCTGTACCGAAGCAGCTCAACTCCTGTTAGTCTGGAATTCTTTTAGATGGTTTTGAAGAAAGGTAGTAGCACAACTCTGTTTTCCTTCTAATTCCAGGTGGGCGAAATGGTTATGGAGCCAAACTGTGCAACATATTTAGCACAAAATTTACTGTGGAAACCGCATGTCGCGAGTACAAGAAATTATTCAAGCAGGTATGAACGCTTCTCATTTCAGTAAGGTGCCACCTGAGATTTTCGAGTAAGACCCTAAGTTTTTTGTTCTAAAAATCTAGGTGTAATCTGCATTCAGTGCACCATGATTACAGCAAATTTGGCCCACAGTTATTGTACTGCAAAATATAATTCAAATGAATAATGAAGTGAGAAGACACAATCGGAATCTCGTTTTTAACCAGCTGGGTTTTTTTAATCTGAAAGCATTTCAAACTCATAGATCGGCTTACTGCCTTTGAAAACGAAGCTAGCTGCTTGTGTGCATTAGACTGGCAACTCACAAAACCTCCTTTTCTCAGACTTGGACTGACAACATGGGAAAGGCTGGAGAAATGCAGCTGAAATATTTTGATGGAGATGATTACACGTGTGTTACTTTCCAACCTGATCTGTCAAAATTCAAGATGACAATTCTCGATAAAGACATTGTAGCGCTGATGTCTCGAAGAGCTTATGATATTGCTGGATCCACAAAGGATGTCAAAGTTTTCCTAAACGGACAGAGGCTGCCTGTAAGTGAACCTTTAAAGGAAACAGCAATACCTGTATTTCTCATGCCATTTAAACAGATTTTGTTGAAACAATTTAAGTCATTACATGTAGTAAAGGGAAAGTTTGCCTGAGTGATTTTTCTCCCTGCTTTTCAGGAGGATATGAATTATTTATAGGAGCTGTTGTAAACGAGTTGTCTGCTTTCATCTGCATGCAGGTGAAAGGATTCCGCAGTTACGTGGACCTCTACCTGAAGGACAAAGTAGATGAAACTGGTAACGCACTTAAGGTGGTGCATGAGGAAGTAAACTCTCGGTGGGAAGTGTGTCTGACTTTGAGCGAAAAGGGCTTCCAGCAAGTTAGCTTTGTCAACAGCATTGCCACTACGAAGGTAACACTGCGTTAGTTTATTGCGTCAAGCTGATGCCATAGTCTTCATCGTTCATGTTCTTAGCTATTGTCAAATGTATGTGTGTTAGGGAAAAATACTTAGTGGCTTAATGTGGCAAAGACCATGCTTCAAGTTTGCAATAGATACACATACTTTTTTTTTTTTTAATGGAGTCACCACTGGGTCTTTGGTCCTGTTTTCCCTTAGGGTGGCAGGCACGTTGACTACGTAGCTGACCAGCTTGTGACTAAACTCATTGATGTTGTGAAAAAGAAGAACAAAAATGGAGTTGGAGTGAAGCCTTTTCAGGTACAATGGCAGAATTGCCCTAGTGGGAAACATAACTCTAGCGTTATCACAAACTGTGACTACAGCTTAATGCATTGCTACATTAATTAATAATATGTATTTCCATTATACAGACTACACATAAAATTGCTAATTATGGAAGTCTTGTATTTTCCAGTTTAAGCCAACTAACAATCTTCTCTTGGTCTGGCTGATGTATTTTGCAGTCAGAGCACTGCAAGTCAGTGAAGATGAACTAAAACTCAGTATCTGTTAGATAATACCTATTTAGGCTGAGAGCTGCTGGTCCTTGACACCCCAAATCACAGAACCTTGTTCAGGCATGTTCATTTGCTGTCCTAAATTCTTCCAAGTTATCTAGGAAAATTCAAAACCATAGTGATGAGTTTTTCATTTTTCCTCGCTGTGATTCTGACAGGTGAATGTCAGAACGCGCTGCTGTGGCTGAGAGGAGCCTGTGTAACGTGTGATGCTTCTTGTCTTTAACTGTAGGTGAAGAACCACATGTGGATTTTCGTGAATTCCTTAATTGAAAATCCAACCTTTGACTCTCAGACCAAGGAGAACATGACTCTGCAGGCAAAGAGCTTTGGCTCAACCTGTAAACTGAGTGAAAAATTTGTTAAGAGTGTAAGTATTGATACACGCAGATAGTCAAGGTGTCTGTGAAACTGCATCTTAGGTTTAACGTGGCAAATATATACATTTGAAGTAGTGTCGTGAACTAAAAAAGCATGTCACTTAAAATTCTGTCATTGGTAAGGCTTTTCTCACAGTTGTTTGGGCTTATTTTTTGTATTGCAGGCACTTAGCTGTGGTATTGTTGAAAGTGTCCTAAACTGGGTGAAATTTAAAGCTCAGAGCCAGCTGAATAAGAAATGTTCAGCTGTGAAACACACTAAGATTAAGGGTGTTCCTAAGCTGGATGATGCCAATGATGCTGGTAAGTGTTTTGCATCCTTTGTAACCAATTCTTTCAAAAACGGTTAAAACTTGTTCATTAGACAAGCAAAAAAATTGTCTCCTAAGGAAAAATGAGAAAACCTGTATTTATATCCCCATTTTACAGTCCCATCTACTTTGTTTATCCCCACTCACTCTACACAGCGCAACAAAACCTGTGTTAGAAAACGGTTAGCCCATTTGCGAGTGTGCAGGCTTTGATTTCACTTCTTAATCAGAAAATTAACTTCTTTTTTTTTTTCCCTCTTTTCAGGCAGCAAGCACTCTTTAGATTGTACGCTTATCCTGACTGAGGGAGACTCAGCCAAAACACTGGCTGTTTCTGGTCTGGGAGTGGTTGGTAGAGACAAATATGGAGTATTTCCCCTTCGTGGGAAAATGCTCAACGTCAGAGAAGCTTCTCATAAGCAGGTTAGTGGGAAACTCGTCACAGGCTGCGTGTGTGCTTTGGGTGATGCCGCGTGTTTTAACTGAGCCAGTACAGCTGCACCTGGACCCAGCTCACAGGAGCAGTGTCTTCAACACCTGGTCTCTTCAGCCCGCCTTGCTGGTTAAGTGGGAACGTTCCTTAAGTCCTGTTGGGTGTTCTGCCTGAAGGGGTAGTGTGTGTGCTGTGGACTAGAAAACGCTCGGAATGATCTAGGATAATTTAAGCATTAGACTTCAGTTTAGAAAACCACAGTGGCAAAAGACAACTGGCGAAGACAAAGCTCAGTCAATGGTGTACTTACGGCTGGATTTAGACTATTTTGAGATACATTTAAAGTCCGAAAGACAAGTTTTTATTCTGTGTGATCTCTTCCAGATTATGGAAAATGCTGAAATCAACAACATCATCAAGATTGTGGGTTTGCAATATAAAAAGAACTATGAAGATCAAGAATCTTTAAAGAGTCTTCGCTATGGAAAGATTATGATTATGACAGATCAGGTTAGGTTCACTCAAACTGAAAACTGGGAGAGGAAGAAAACCAACACTTGAATAGAGAGGAAAGAAGGAAACATTTATCTTCTCCCACTGCCATTTTTGTACCTAATTCTCTGTATTTTTCTTTCTGTCATTCTATGTTTTAGTGGATCATTACATCTTTTCAGCCACAGAACAAAACAGATAGAGGGGGGGGAGTAGCACCACCAAAATAACCGAATACCATCTTTCCCATCTGCTGGTTCAAGGTCCTTGGACCACTCCTTGGTCCCTTTTTGTTTCACCAAGAATGTGCTTTTTCCATTTCTCTTAATTTTCAGTAGCTAAACAATGCACGGTCACCTTTTTAGAGGGGATGGTTAATGGTGTCAGTTAGTTGGAATTATAGAATTATTTGCTATTGAGCTAAAAATTGGCAATTCCATCATGTCCCTGATTAAATGTGTGTGGGGTTTTTTTTCTTTTTAAACCAGGATCAAGATGGCTCGCATATCAAAGGTTTGCTGATTAACTTCATCCATCACAACTGGCCATCTCTTCTAAGGCACAACTTCTTGGAGGAATTTATTACTCCCATCATAAAGGCAAGGGTTGGGTGCTGGTAAGGTGAATGAGTAAGGATCCATTGTTCCAGATCTGCCTCTCATTTCACAGTTCAAATATCTGTTGGTTGTAGGTCTCTAAAAAGAAAGAAGAAATTGCATTCTACAGCATTCCTGAATTTGAAGAATGGAAAAACAGTACGCAGAACTACAATTCATGGAAAATCAAGTACTATAAAGGTTTGTAGGAAACTTACTATGGAGAAGGTAAATGATCCGAGTAAGAGTATTTGTGTAGCCCTGCTTTTGCAGAAAGGCTTTGAGACGAGTGTCCTCCCAGTCTCTTCCCTCCTAAGATATTTTGATTGCAAATACATGCAACATAAAATAGAAAAGGAAGGAAACAATAACCTCTTAACTGGATAAAATAATAAAATGTCTCAACACTGAACTACGGTATGTGCCCTCTTAGGCAGTTATGCTCGGGTTTATGTGCTGTTTTCCATAGTATAGTCCTCGTGTACCGTCAGGGCTGTAAGCTAAGTACTTATTTATATATTATATACTATATATATTTATATATTATATACTATATATCTATACTAAATACCAATAAGAAAGTTGCCAGCTGCAGAACAATGGCTGGATGATGGGGAATCATTTCCAATTTGCAGTTAATCATGTTGGATACCTACAGGAGTTACAGACAAAATCCAAAAGTACAACACACACCTGCTCACTTCTCCGTAGTCCTCGTGACTTTTGGGCTACCTCACATCTCATTGTGAAGTAACCTAAATTTTCAGTAAGTCATCTTCATGCTGTACATTTATAGCATGCATCACAGAAACGAGACGTGGCAAAACACTTCCCTGAAACTGAAACTTCATTTAAGCCAGAAGTTATTAGGATTAACTAGGACTGTCTCTGCAGGTTTGGGTACCAGCACGTCGAAGGAGGCTAAAGAATACTTTGCGGATATGGCAAAGCATCGAATTGGCTTCAAATATTCCGGTCCCGAAGATGATGCTGCGATCACCCTGGTAACTAACATTTAATTGCTGACTTATTACCTTTGGTATTCCGCTGCTTAGTGCTGTGTATTTTCTCTTAAAATGCTCTTAGAGGCCTTTGGGCCTGAGACAGTCTCTTTGTTACCAAGGCTACGGCTTCGGTCCAACCAGTAGAAGCAAATCTGGCCACAGACCTCAGGCCAAGAGTACCCTTTTAATGATGGCTTTTAAATATAGCTCAGAACAAACTAATCACTACAAAGCAATTGACATTTTCAGACACAACAGTAAATATTCCTTTAACATTTTTCTGCATGTTCTGCTGCAGTTTTCTCCAAGTCAGACCTTCCCTTTCTCCCCCAGACTTCTTGCAAAATGCTTCACCAGTGGATTAAACCAGTCCTCGTTTCTGTGAACTTCATCACCTCCAGTAGCTGTTGATTCTTAAGTTTCTGAGCTATTGGGCAATGCCAAAAAAAGTTTTTTTCCCCAAACATTTCCCATCAGATCTGCTTTAGTGTTCCTTTGTTGTGTTTAGAATTCATACATTTAAACCTAACTGCCATTTCTCCTAAAGACTGGTGGAAATTATGCTCTTGAGATGTTTAGTGCCAATAAAATTGCACTTCTTGGGCTGTTAAATCAATCTGTTTAGCACGTTATTCTCCCAGGTAAACTCTTCGGGTATGCTTGCTTTTTCTCAAGTGATCCAATAAGGCACACCACAAAATGTTCTAGAATTGAGTTCCTTTTCATTTTGTAATATACAGGCCTTTAGCAAGAAGAAGGTAGAAGAGCGAAAGGAGTGGCTGACTAATTTCATGGAGGATAGAAGACAACGGAAGCTGCATGGTCTGCCAGAGGTAAAAGGTTTATTTCTGTGAAGGAAACTGGTTTCTTGTCCCCTGGTCTGCTCTCGGCTTCAGTCTGGCCACGCGGGAGCTGCCCACAGCTCAGTCAGGCAGTCACCAGCTTCCAGGACGTTAAAAATGTTTCAGGATTCTGCAGAGCAGCTTCTCTCATCCGTGTAGCATCACTGTCAATTGTCCAACAGTTCATTTAATTTTCAACTCTTATCTTCCAAATTGCTTTATCAATAGGGATATGATAACTCGAGCAGGACTGTATGAAGACTTTTTATTTCTCAAAAATTGGGCTTGCATCATGGGAAGCAGTGGCTCACTTTGCCACGCTAAGAAAGTCAGCACTTGAGCTGAGTTTAGTTAGGCTTACAGGGAGCTTCCATTTTAGTGAAACTAGCCCAGCATGAGCTAAGAAACAGCTTAGACCTTGTTTAGACTAAGGCAGTCGTGTACCTTTTTCTCTTAGGAATACCTATATGGGAAAAACACTCATTACCTGACGTACAACGACTTCATCAACAAGGAGTTAGTGCTGTTCTCAAACTCAGATAATGAAAGATCAATCCCATCCCTGGTTGATGGTAAGTTATTTCAAGGTAGTGATTCCACCCAGTGCATTCCCCAGAACTTCGTAACTGAGTGTTTGTATGTCACATCATCACCAGAATCGGGGAACCTGCGGGGTTTTCAGGGTCAGTGTTCTGAAGGCTGTTTTCCGATATCCAAGTTTTTTAATCTTTGGTTTAAACGTCTCATCCATTTTGTAGTATATTATGGCATTACCTCACTCTCCCGGTGTAGAATCTTCAGGTGCATAAGTAGTTTTTAGTCTGTAGAGAGCAGAAGCGAAGTGAAACACGTTGTGTGTTCTAATCACACGGTCTTTTCTTTTTTTTATACAGGCTTGAAGCCAGGCCAAAGAAAAGTTCTGTTCACGTGTTTCAAACGAAACGATAAGCGGGAGGTGAAGGTTGCTCAGCTGGCTGGTTCTGTAGCTGAGATGTCCTCATACCATCATGGTGAAGTAAGAACCTGGCCTGGTTGTACAGAATGCTTTTTAAATGAAAGACAAAAAGCCCTTCTGTTGCCTCGACAGTTAAGATGTCTCTAAAGCAGGATTAGATGTTTGAGTACAAAAGCCAAACAAAGTGGCTGTATAGCTGCTGTTAATCCCTCAGTATTTATTTAGTGGTCAGTCTGCCTGTCCTACCTAGACTTTATGGGGGTATATTTCCTTCAAAAAGTAAAATGGGGGAAAAACTCGCTTTATTTGTAATAGATTTAGGCAGATGTTAATAGTCTTTCTACCTTGGTAAGGAGAAGTTAAGCACTAAAACAAGCTTCTCTTGGGAGACTGATAGAGTCTTTCACTGGAGGTTTCAAGAACAGGTTGTTAGCAATACGTGGTGGGTCACTGGAATATATCTAGTCATCCACGGGTGAGAGTTTGCTCTGGTATTTTATTAGTTAATCCTCTCTATCAGTTACATTCTTGGTGTGAATTTTGCCTTTAACTTCATCCGTTCAGTGAAGAATTCTGCCTCTTTAGCTTTGAACGTTCCTTTCTTGCAGGCATCACTGATGATGACTATTATTAACTTAGCTCAGAACTTTGTGGGCAGTAACAACCTCAACTTGCTGCAGCCCATTGGTCAGTTTGGCACAAGGCTGCATGGTGGGAAGGACTCTGCCAGCCCTCGATACATCTTCACAATGCTCAGGTCAGCATTAAAGTTTTCTTACTGTCATAAATATTCTGAGCGTGTTACAGGGCTCAATTTGACAGCGTTTAAAATGAAAAATGAATTTACTTTTTCCCTTTAAAACTTTGGACTACTTGCATACTTGGCATAGCAACAAATGAAGTGTGATTTGGATCCGAGATTCAGATATGTAAACTTGGTTATCATCCCAGAGAACAGAAAGGCATAGCATAGAATATGGAAATGGGAGCGAAAACAAAGGGAAAAATTTGGGTAGGATAAGAAAAAATGAGCTTGAGTAGGGAGAATGAAGTTTGAGTATCTGAAAGTCCAGCGGCCACACGGGTTGAACTTGATCAAATCTGTGACTTGAGCCTGTGCGTGGTTGTACCAGAGCAAGGTACCCCAGGAGCTGGAGCCTTCCCAGGCATCAAACAGCTGATCTACACGTGCTCGGTGGTCGCTGTTCTGTAACAAGAATTTGGGCTTTAATTTTCGTGCCTGTTCTAGCCCACTAGCACGGCTGCTGTTCCCACCAATGGATGACAATATCCTCAAGTTCCTCTACGACGACAACCAACGCGTGGAGCCGGAGTGGTACATGCCCATCATCCCCATGGTGCTGATCAACGGGGCGGAGGGGATCGGCACCGGCTGGTCCTGCAAGATCCCCAACTTCGATATCAGGGAAGTCGTGAACAATATCCGTCGCCTGATGGATGGAGAAGAGGCCTTGCCAATGGTAAGTAATGTGTTTCTAAGCCAGTGTCTCCCTCGTTGGTTTATTCAGCGCACATTGGAGCGTTTCATGCAAGTGCTTGAATACAGCAGCATCCACACAGAGCTGAACGCGGCGTTCTCTTCTGCTTAGCTTCCTAGTTACAAGAATTTCAAAGGCACCATACATGAGCTGGGTCCTAACCAGTACGTGATAAGTGGTGAAGTGTCTATTATCGATTCTACAACCATCGAGATCACCGAACTGCCCGTCAGAACGTGGACACAGGTAACAAAGACTGAATTTGCCCCGGGAATGTATAGTTTACCCCATAAAGCAAAACGTGATGGGTGGATTTTGGAGCTTTTTGGCTTCGTGGCAAACACGGGTCTGACTGATTCTTTTCCTCAGACATACAAAGAGCAAGTCCTGGAGCCAATGTTAAACGGGACTGAGAAGACACCCCCACTGATCACAGACTATAAAGAATATCACACAGACACGACAGTGAAGTTTATAGTGAAGATGACCGAAGAAAAACTAGCTGAAGCTCAAGCAGCGGGACTGCATAAAGTCTTCAAACTCCAAACGAGTTTGACATGCAACTCCATGGTATGTAATAGATTTTACTGCGGAAAGTCCTTGCTTTAACTCAAAGACTGTGTGGACAGCTGCCGCTGCTGCGTGTTACGAAAATCCTCTCGCAGTAACCTATTCACTTTGATTTTTCTGCTGTTACTGGTTTTAAATCAGCTTTTGAAATATGCTTCGAAAGGTCAGGAGACTGGCTTGGGAATGGGCCTGGAGTGCTGTGGCTGTGCCTGCAGGAGTCAGAGTGATCTGAAATCACACGGTTTACAGAGACCTTTGCTGTGACAACAGCACTGCCATAGAGCGTCCGAGTCTGACTGTCTGCAGGCTTGATGCAAGATGTTTATCCTACAGATAGCTTTCAGATTCGAGTAACCTTAAACCCTACTGTGTGTTTTCAAGAACTCAGAAATTCTGAAAGTGTCTCTGCTGCTGTGCTTGCAAACTGAATTTCTAAACCAGCACTAAGGTTTTCTAATTTGTTGGCCTAATAATTCCATTGTCCTCCCGCACCTGTGTTACAGGTAATTTTCGGTGGTTTTTGCAAATCGGTTTTATCATCATAACGCCTGTGTTCTTTCATCTAGGTTCTTTTTGACCACGTTGGCTTTCTCAAGAAGTACGACTCTCCCCAGGATATTCTGAAGGAGTTCTTTGAACTCAGGCTCCGCTATTACAACCTGCGAAAAGAATGGCTCATTGGGATGCTGGGCGCCGAGTCCGCGAAACTGAGCAACCAGGCTCGGTTCATCCTGGAGAAAATAGATGGCAAAATCGTGATCGGTACGTGGTGTTCTTGGTGACTTGGTTTATAAAACTGGGAGCAGAACTAGGGGCTCCCTGGAGTTCTGTCAGCACCCCCTCGGCCCCGGCTGGCTCTTAAGGACCTACGCCGGCGCTTATCTTTCTGTTCCAGTAACACACAAGAGGTGAACACTTCCCCGAGTCTCTGGTTTACACAGCATTATGCAGGTGTTAATTAAAATGGGATACTCGTACAGCTTTCCTACTGCGTGTCTGACGCTATTTTGAGAGTAAAAATTTCTTTTTAATAGTCTAGCAATCGTTCCTATCTATTTTTAACTCGTCAGGAATAAGTGTTAAGCGCTGGTGGGGTCAGGAAGGGGTAGCGTTTTCTGTTCAAACACATAAACCTGTATCTCTCCATTATCTTTGTGAACCTGTGCAGACATACTCCAAATCAGTGTTCTCAGTGGATTGGGGTTTCAAACTTAGAAGATACTCAAGTTAGCAGCATCTGAGAATCATGAGCTGGAAAAAGAAGCAGGTCTTTGTTCCCAGCATTCCTATTTTTCACTCAACTTTTCCACCTCGGACTCAAAGGCAGTCTGTCTTTCACTTCCACTCCTGGAGGATGCAGCTAGGCAAAGTGTCGTAAGATGCTTTGTGCTCTCTGTCTGGAGGCAGCCCCGTAATCCCAACAGCCTACGTGTTTGACTTGACTCAGGAAGAGAAATAATTCCCTTGAAACGCATTTTCTTGGGTTTTTGTAATAAGTAGTTCCAAGGCTGACAGAGCTGGTTTCATTTGTATTTGTCTCATGGTTGATTGCTTCTGATATCTTAAAAAGGAACAAATTCCAGCTGAGGCATTGCCATTGGTCGGGGCAGTTATAGCATAAATTTCCCAGGTGACATCTAACGAGGTGCAAGCTCTACCAAAGTCTGAGTGCTATCAGGAGTTTTTTCACTCCACCTGCCTATTATTGTGAAACATTTTTGATACCATCACGTCTTTTTTTTTTTTTTTCCCCACGTTCAAAAACTACTTTGGGTGGGGAAATGCATATATGGAAATGAAGAAAAAAAAATATTTACAGTGCTCTGGCAGGGGCTTCTGGCAGCATAGGAGCAATGCTGACCCGACAAATCACCTGCTATGTGGGAACTTTTTAGGTGTTATTTCAGGCTCTTCCACGTGTCCCACCTCTGATGAGGAAAGGCTGTTTTAGAGCCCAATAGGATGCTGAGCTGCTAGAACTATGGGATCCAAAATTTAAAGCTCATCTGTCTTTCCCAACAGTGATTGGTAGTGGTCGCTAACTGACAATCCTGAAATGTCTGTTTACAGAAAACAAACCCAAGAAAGAGCTGATTCAGGTTCTTATCAAGAGAGGGTACGAATCTGACCCAGTGAAGGCTTGGAAGGAATCACAAAACAAGGTAAATCTTCAGTCATCCTCCCCAAAGAGATCCGAACCTGCCCCCATCTCTGAAGCTTCATAATTCATGTGAAGAAGCCCAAGTGGCTTTTCAGTTTGTAGGATCCGAGACCTTGCGCGTCGGGTATGTCTGCGGTAGGGAACGGGCACGCAGAAATTCAGTCCCTTGTTCAGCAGGCACCGAGACCTGCTCCTTGGGGTTTGAGTCCTCTTGCCACACCAACTCCTGCCCTTCCTTAAGGGTTTCCTTCTGCCCGTGGGACGCAGCTGTGGAAGGGCTGTGAGGAAGGCGACAGTTTTAAGTAGCCTGAGGAGAGAATCTGGAGTTTCGAGACAGAGAGGCTAAATAGAGAGAGCAAAAGAGATTTGGAGAATTGTTTTTGCAGATGGATTCCTCTGTGCGATAGCAGCTGAGGCTTTACCTCGCTTTGCCCAGTTCCAAATTGTTCTCGAATTGTCTGGGACACCATAAGCATGTGGAGTGCCTGTGATCAACAGCCCTACCCTTGTATGCCAACGGATTTGTTGACAATGTTTGTTTTAAATTTACATTCAGGAAGAGGAGGAGGAGAGGGAGGAGGAGGCAGAGGAGGGTGACAAAGAACCAGCTGCCGATACTGGACCTGACTTCAACTATCTACTGAACATGCCCCTTTGGTATCTGACCAAAGAGAAGAAAGATGAGCTCTGTAAGCAGAGAGATAACAAAGTATGTTCCTTTTCTTAGAAAAGCATTGTTTTATCTTTTTTTTTTTTTTTGATGGTGGATTAAAATATATGACTGGTGACTATCTACTGTGATTCCCTTTAGGAAAAGGAGCTGGAAGACCTTAAGTGCAAGAGTGCCTCTGATCTGTGGAAGGAAGACCTTGCTGTCTTTGTTGAAGAACTTGATGTATGTCAGAGTTCAGTGCAGATGGCTGACTCCCTTGTAGTCTTATCCACCAGCTCTTTATTGACTTTTTTGTCATAACAAGGAAACTAAAAATGATAGCTCCTATGTCTGGCACTCACTGAGGAGAAGAAAGCTTCCTTCACCTTCCCAGCTTGGACAGGAGTAGTGCTGCTTTGGGCCAGGGAGTCCAAACAGGGTGGCTCTTGGAAGGTGGTCAACTACCAGTCTGAGTAGTGGGGCTTGAGAGAAAACCAGTGCCAGGATGTAGTCTGAGGAGTTGTAGATCCAAGGGGGTTTTGGACACGGAAAAGGTGAGGGAGGAGCTGTACTTCACCGAACAGAGCCCGGACTGTGGGCAGGTGTCTGCACCATCACACCTGGTCCCTGCCCGTGTCTCTTCTTACTCCCCACGTAACCAAACTACAGCTCTGGCTGGATCATTGCTTGAAAATGTGCAAATGTATAGCAGAGCGGGAAGCTTCATTTAACCTGACGGTAGGAAATCTATCAGCAAGTATTGAGTGCTTTACTGCAAAGGGCTGTGATGGTGGGTTTTTTTCAGCAGTCCACTGTTTCGTTTGTATTCTCACGGTTGTTTTCTCTTATGCTCACCTCTGCAGGCGGTGGAAGCCAAGCAAATTCAGGATGAGAAGGCAGGGTGTGGTGGTAAACCTCTAAAGATGAAAGGAGGGAAAATGAAGGTGAAGAAGGAGCAACTGCCAGAAGTAATGCCATCACCTCATGGCATAAGGGTTGTTCCTCAGATAACTGCAGAGATGAAGGCAGAGGCAGAGAAGAGAACTAAAAAGAAAATAAAGGTAAAAAGAAACACTCGGAATGTTCAATCTTTCTTTACATCCTCTTCAATAAGGCCCTAAAGAAATGCAAGCTCCTGCCAGCTGAACTCGTCCCAATGAAGCAGCTACGCAGGGAGAGGGATGGAGTCTGAGGACCTGGGAAACTGCTCAGTCTGAGGGAGAACAGATTCACTAATGTATCAGGAGTTGGCTTGGAGGGAAATCTTTTGGCAAGAGCATGTATCGCAGTGTCAGAGATGGTTTGGTAGCTTAGCAATGAAAAGACAGATGCAAGTAAGGTTGTTCTAGGTGTCTTGGGGATTTTATAAATCCTCTAGCAGGCAGGAAGTACAGCTGGTGAATTCACTTCTCCAGGACAGCCTTTGCATTTCCAGTAACACTTTCAGCTCCTCAATGCCATTATTGTTCTCAGTATCAAGGAGAGAAAGATCATCTAACTCTTTTTTTGATAGGGCTAGCTGAAATTGGGCCATTCAGCCACTTGCAACGTAGGTAATTAAAATATCCCCTCGCCTGTTTTGACCTGTAAGCCCGACATCGCTCCTTTCCTACAGATGGTTCCATCGAACAGTTTTTCCAAATAACTTGCGCTGTTGTTTTTAACCCGCCCAGTTCTGTCAGCGCATCCTCAACACGCCCTGGAGCCATCCCATCAGCACACAAAGGCAGCACCAAAGCCCGCTCGGGAGTGGGGACAAAGTTCCTGTTTTTGTAATACTGAATTTTGTGTTTTAAGTCACCTGATCTGGGGACAGGTCACATCTGATTTACTTGGCTGTAATCAATTTTACACGCAGTTTGTTTCACAGACTCCGGGTTTTTTTTGTATCACTGACTTTGGTGCATCTAAAATAAGCAGCTCCTTTCTGCATTACTCTGTGTGCCACTTCTAATTGTGTGAGCTGACTCGCTATCTGTTTGATATCTGCTCGTATCTTCAGACTGAAAAAAATGAGTTCGATGAGAACCAAGAAGAAAATACATCAGGAGACAAAGGGTCTTCAGACCTTAAGCAGAAATTAAAGCTGAAGACTAACACTGAGCGAGGTAAATGCTTTTACATGTTATTCCATCAGTGGAAAGTGAGGGGAAGGGCTGTAAATCTGGTTATCTGACCCCTTCCTGAAGGTGATGAGTAACATCGAGGATCTGTATTTTTGGAAAAACAGGGAAAGTGATTCGGGGTAGCAGCCCAGCAGGATAGATGACTCTTCCTCTTTGATGTTTAAGTCAGAATCCTCTGAGTTTAGTGATGTATTTCTAAGTTGAGCTTGAGCTGCTGAGCCCAAAGTGCAGATGGAAGTTCGCTGCCTCATCCTGCCTCCCGATATTTTGCAGGTCATAAGAGGCAGGCCACTCTACCTTTTAAACCATTAAAGAAAATGAAGAAACGAAACCCTTGGTCGGACTCGGGGTCCGGTTCAGAGTCTGATTTTGAGGCACCTCCTCAGAGAGAGCGAGTGGTTCGCCGAGCGGCAGGTGGGTGAGGACACAAATGCGGAAGAGGGATGGTCTGTGGGGGAGAAACCGGAACAGGCCATTTAGAGAGTCTGAGATGTCAGTCAGAAATAATTCTTATTTTACTGTATGCAACAACTAAATATTTCTGCCTTTTGAGCAGATCTTCATGATGCTTTTCAAGGAAAAGCAAAAAATTGGGAACTAGAGAAATAAGGTTATTTGCTTTATTGACACAACTGTCTTGGCAAACCAAGTGCCTTGTTGGGAAGCGAGTGCAGGATACGGTTGTGATGTGGAGTCTTCTCACTGGCACTCTCAGTATCTGCTTGGGTTTAGTCAGATCTTTATTTTTACTGCAGTTACTGCAGCCAAAATATTGAAAAAGAAACTGAGCTGCATATTGTCAAATGTGTAAAATAACACATCTGTGTCATGTCATCAGCCAAAGTCAAGACCATCGTCAGTTCGGACTCGGATCCAAATCTCTCCAGCTCGGATGAGGAGTCGGAATTTCAGGTCAACAGTGAATCGGATACGCCCCCCCCTAAAATCCCATCTCCCAAACCCAAAGCTGCTCCAAAGTGAGTATTTCTCCACATAAGTCACTGGAAATCAGTTGTGCTTTTGGTGTTGATGCTACATAGAAACCAACGGCTCTTTCCATTCCGTGCACCTATCCGCGCATCCTACATTGAAAAAAATACTTGTGGTTTTGTATTCCAGGGAAACCGCTGAAAAAGCAGCTAAAGCTCCCAAGCAAAAGCCAGTGCAAAGTGCTGCCCCCGGTGAGTACAAAGACCTCCTCACCCCCCCGAGAGCACGCTGGGCATTCTGACACGTTCATCACAAGACCTTGCAAAGAAACTCTGATGCTGGGGGTACCAGCTGCTTTCAGTGCACCAGGCTTTTTTTGTCTGTTTCTAACTTGAATTTGCGATTTAATCCAGTTTTAATAGTTGTTCTTTTTATAAAGTGGATCAAAATTACTTCCTTCTGCTCTAATGTTTATAGCCAGCGTAGATAATTTGACTATTTCTGCTTTCTTTATTCAGTTCAGGTCCAAGATGTTGATAATGGAAATGTGAGTCAAGATTCTGCAGCTCCTCCTGTTGTTGTGCCTCACGCTAAGGCCGCGCCTAAAAAAACTGCTGCAGCTAAGAAGGCCAGTGCCACTACAGGTAAGGCAAAGCCTAGTAAAAATCTTTTTTAGATAACGATTATTATTATTCCTGTGGGAAACAAGTCTGAGTGATTTTGCTAGGCAGAAGGCTGAATAACTTGATTTTTCATTTCAGAAGTGATCTGAGGTTTGTGGCAAAGGTTGCCTAGTTGTCATTTTTAAAGCAGTCCTGTTTCCAAACATATCATGTTCTAGTTCATCTCAGACATGCTCGAAGGGAGTGAATTTTAGTTTGGGAACAGGAAAAGTGAATGCTTCCTACAGTGCTATGTAATACTTGGCAGAAATAATCCGAGTGGAATTTGTGTCTTGCAGTCAATGTTCTACTTCGTGTCTTTTGGGGGAGAAAGCTACTTGGTAGCTTGCTTCCCAGGAAGAAGAAAAGCTGCTTTGGGGTGGCTTGATCTTACTTAGTGCTAGCTCGACCTCACAAATCTACAGCATTTGATTCAGGTTTATTTCAACTTAAGCGCCCGGAGCCTTTGTCAAACTCTGAGAGCTGTTTTGCATATTCCATCAGTAGCTGGTTTTGATCCCAGCAGTAAAATAGTGCTACTTCACAGCAAAATAGCTGTTTCTTCCACTTCTAAATTGAGACAGCCTATTATCATTCAGAAATGGCCTGCTCATTTCAGCTTAACTTGGAGACATGCTTCAAGATATGCTGTTAAAAAAGATGTTGAAATATAGGTAAGAACAAACTCCTCGTGTGTAACCCTTTAGGTGGTAAATTCATTCCTTCCCCGTGCCAGAGTCTGAAAGGTGTAAGATTGGTCACGCGGCCTTGAGAGTTCTGGACTTTTCGATCTGAAATAGTCTGTAAATTGCTTTGGGTACGTTTTAATTTGATCCTCTGAATGTCTTGGAACTAAGGCGATAAACAACCTCGATTCCTCATACTCTTGGTAAAGAGAAATCTGTCGAGAAAAGCTGCTTCCGAACGAGGCGACCCACGCGCTGACCCCGGGGCCAGCCCAGAGCCCCGCTCCTGCTGGGCAAACGCCGGACGAGAAGGGAAGGCAGCAAGACGAGGGCTTAAACTAAAGGCAGAGCTCTGTTTCAGATAACCAGCCGTCCATCATGGATCTTCTGGCCAAGAAAAAGGCTGCGCCCAAGCCCAGCAAGGCGGGGAAGGAGGGACCCCTGGACGCCAAGGCTGGAGGAGCCGCAGGGGACAAGAAGCCCGCCCAGACCAAGGGACGGAAAGTCACCCGCAAGCAGCCGAGGGCTTTCATTTCGGATTCGGATTCAGATTCGGATTTCGGCTCGAAACCTTCCAAATCGGTTGCAGCAAAGGTTTGTCCCCGCGGGGAGCCGAGGGGGTGCCCGGGCCGTGCTGGCGCTGGCAGAAGCGGCGGAGGCAGCACCTCCCCCCCGACACCCGTCTGCTGCGGCGCCGGGCGCGGGGAGGGGGGGTCGGGCCCAGCAGCCGCCTCCCCCGTGACACCGCGGGGCGGTTGCTGGGAGCTGAGTGTTCCCAGCTTTACGCTCGCCTTCACCGTTTGCCTCCCGGCTCTGCTTCCCCTCCAGAAATCCAAGCTGGAAGACGACGATGGCTTCACCGGTGGCTCCACCGCTCGTGCCGACAGCCCCGTAGCAGCTGCCGCCCCCGCCAGGCCCGGACGACTCAAAAAACCCGTCCGGTACTTGGAGGAGTCCGACGAGGACGATCTGTTTTGAATTTTTATGAAGATTTTTAAACCGCTGAAGCAAACCCATCTCCAAACTGGCCTTTCGCAGTGCTCTCGCCAAAGAACATCTCAGACTGGGAAGTCTTTTTACTGAATTTAAGCTAGTCCATAAATGTTTGTTAGAACTGACTACAGTTCTATTTTTCTTGGTTTTAAGTAACTGAAATTTGTTTAAACGGAACCCCCCTCCTTTTTTGTGAACACTGCAGCCATGTGCCCAGCCAGTGCTGATGCACTTCCCTCTCCCTATTAGTTAGATGGAATCTTTCCACCCCTTTGGTCATTTTAACGTTAAAGTAGACTTTAGAACGTTTCCAGTCCTTTAAAATACCCTCACGTAGATACCTTCCTCCTTAGATATCTTAAAAAAATAATAAAATAGGTAAGCTTTTAACTCCACAACCCTGGGGACACAGCGTGAGGCGTCGGCGTTCAGAGCTCCGTGCTCGTGTTTTTCTCTCTCGCAGCCCTTTACGCCCGTGCAGGCCCCTGTTCAGCCTCCGCCACGTTGAGTTTTACCCCGTCGGGTTTTTTAAAACCCAGATTTAGCGACGGGGCTTTGCGCAGACTTGTCTCCTCTCTGCGCTCGGCGTTGGCAGTTTTATCTCCTGCCTGGCTGCCAAGAAACCCCGTGCTGGGCTGGGTCGGCCCTGAGGTCACCCCCAGGTGAGAGGTGGCCGGCGGCTGGTGGCCAGGACAGACCTTTGCTGGCCCGAGCTCCCTGATCTGCCTGTGTCCTGGTCCCTTCCCCGGAGAGTTTATCTGCTTGTGCTCTGCTTTTCCTAGAGCCCTTCCTCTACAACTATTTCTTCACTGTCTTGTCAACGTGAGTTTTTTTGTGTGTTTTTCTGTCCTGATTTTTCTGTCCTTTTTAATATTTATATAATAATAATAATAAAAAGTGTTTTTACTTGAGTTTTTGTCAATAAAAAGGAATCGTCCTCAGCTGCCTGTGCCCGCGCTTTTCCCTTGCGCCGGCTCTCCGGAGCGGGGTGTCTCTCTTCGTGGTGAGTACCTGAAACCTTTCCGGGGGGGGGAGAGGCCTCTGCTCCCTCCCTGCGCTGCCGGGCTGAGGCTCCTCTCCCTCCTCTGGCTCCTCATTTCTGCGGCGCGTTTGAGTTTTGTTACGGAAACTGGCTCCGGCCCTGCTCCCCGTGGGGCTGGTGGAGCTGCCCGAGGTGCCGGCTCAGGTGCTGCTCGGACGTTCCTCACCCTCAGCAGGGCTTTGCAAAGCCCCAGCCTGGACCCGCGCCCTCGGCCCAGCTTTCCCAATTCCTGTGAAGGCCACAGTGCCTCCCCATCCCCGAGCCCCAACTTCTGCTTTTGCAGCCGCAGGTGAGTGAGGCTTGAAGTTTCAACCAGCCTGAAGAGATATTTTTTCTCCCAGTGCTGGGTTTGTGCTAAGCTGGGCCTAAGTTGTGGCCCTGGGGGGCTGCTTGGCTGCGGGGAGCACGCGGCCACCTCTGCTGCGGCAGAAATGGGGGTTCAGGGTGCGGGGTCCCTGCGGCACAAGGGATTGGGGTCCTTAACGAAGCCCCCGGGTGGGACCTCCCCTGTCCCGGTCCCAGCCTGGGGCCCCCCCTTGGGGCCCCCCCCTCCCTGTCCCCTGGTGCTATCGGTGCCACCAAGGTGCTTTGCTGGAACCCGGTCAAGTGTGGGAAGCGTCGTCAGATTTTCCACTGCCGGGCTCTGGAGAGCGTCTCCAGCGCG